CTCGAATCCAAATCCAATACAATTAAGGGTAAATTGACGGACGATCGAAATCAGTGGGGTTGCATCTGTACGTCGATCGGTGTCCATACTAATCCCACGACGTTAAAAAGAATCTCGCGTCACCCAAACGCGTTGCACTACGGCGAACCCCGGTTACTTCGGGTAACACTAAACTCGACGGACGAGACTGAGGCCGTTCTGCTGTCTGCGAATCGTCCCCGCAACGACTCAAGTGGAGTGCGCATACTACACGAAATCCCGTGGAAAGAACGTTCAGAGGATCCCGCTAACAAAGATAGGTATAGAATAAGTCAAGATAAGAAAACAGTGATTGCTCACGGTGTTCCTGAGCTTACTGATTCCTCTTCCGACGATGCCCAGATGCACGACCGCGAGCAATGGCACTACATCCGTGAGGCTCTTTCTCTCGAAAATGTCGTGGTCACCTCGTTGACAAGGATCCCCATATCACAAAACTATAAGGGGTGCGGTACCAGGCTGTTAAAACTTGTGTTACAGTCAGAACTAATGGCACAAACCATACTAGCGAACTGGATTAAATTCCGTTGCAGATTGCCAACAGAAATTCGGCTGAAAGCAGCAGGAACACCAGCACATTCTAATGACAATTCAGTAGAGGCACAACTCTTAGTGAAAACGCCAACTGCAGGACCCGACTCGGGGACGGTTTCAAGAGTAGCCATACTATCCGGACGGGCACAGCAGAGCACGAGCAAACACCGGAATTCGGGGCATCTGATACCTGCTTATATATCAAATACTTCTCGAGAGTATGCAACCCATCCAAAAAACGATTAGTCGCCGACCCTTTAATGGTCGGCGTAAACTCATTTGCTTCATCCATCCAATCTAACACACTTTTGGTCTCCGAGAAGCTCTCATGCATGTACACAAATGCCCAAGGTCTACTCAGCAAATTAGCTGAATTATGATTTTGGCACGCGTCAGCAGCTTGGGACCTCATCGCTGTCACCGAAACGTGGTTGCGCTGCGAGATAACCGATGCTGAAATTGCACTAACGGGCATGTCCGTTGTCCGGAAGGATCGAACCAGCAAAGGTGGTGAGGTAGCCCTTTATTTTCGTAACAACATGCAATGCGAACGCATAAACGATTCGGAAACCGACGTACCTGACGCCATTTGGTGAAATTTCCGGCTAAGAGGGAACGATCTTGGCCTATTGGTTGTTGTTTACCGCCCACCATCGTCTACTCCTGAGATGGACTGCAACTTGGTGGCTGCGTTGAGGCAAGTGATAAACAGGAAGTACAGTCACATTCTAGTCACCGGTGACTTCAACTTACATGCCCTCGAATCCCAGGCCACACCAGGAGAGCAATTCAAAGCAGATTTGCAAGATCTGGTTTCAGACTTCCCGTCTTATGGCCAGGTCACTACGCCCACCAGATTCAGGGGAACTGACAGGTTATCCATGTTGGACCGAATATTCACCAATGAAGAACTGATGGTCGAGAGAGTGATAACCGATACTCCTTTGGGCCGCAGTGATCATGCGACGCTATTGTTTCATTACATGTGCTACGCGGATTATCCTAAAGTGCATGCCGAGGAATATCATGTCGTAACCAACTATGACGACCTGTCCGACCTAACTGATGCAACCAGCTGGTCGTTTTTAGCTGAATTAACCCCCGAGGTGGCCTGCGGTGAATTCGCCAACATATTTACCAAGCTCGTGGCAAGGACATCTGAAACCAAACTCCACCGGCCTAGAAGGATGAAGTCTTTCGTAAGGAGCAGGACACGTAAGTGCATGGCATTAAGGGACTTGGCATGGCACACCTATATAGCCTCCCCGAAAGACCATACCTGGGATGTCTACACAATACAAAGAAATCACTGTGTCAAACTCGTCCGGGAGGATAAACTTAAGAACCAACAAGATCTAGTGGAAAAGTTTTGCTCCAATCCCAAACTGCTATACAGACACGTAAACAATTTGCGCCGTGTTAAGCGCGGTATTCCTGTTCTGCACACAGCATGCGGCTTAGTCCAAACAGCACAAGACGCGGCCAACGTCCTTGGACAACAATTTGGCCGTACCTTCCAAAGCGCGCAATCATCATACATCCAGCCTAAGCAAATAACGCCGCCATCAGGGCTTAACCACATATCGTTTACCTCCGCAGCTGTGTTGAAGAGGCTGATGTCTCTGCGCGAGTTCAGCTCCCCGGATGCGGACGGCATCCGCCCGAAGCTGTTGAAAGTTGCTTCCATGAGTTTGGTAGGACCACTAGCAATTTTCTTTCAACGATGTCTGAACGAGATGCACGTCCCCACGACGTGGAAGCACGGAATCATCACGCCTATCTACAAAAGTGGTAGCCGTGCTGAACCAACAAATTATCACCCGATAACACTACTTCCTGTGATCTCCAAGGTTGTGGAGTCCATTATGGCTGAGGCTTTAATTGGGTACTTGGAGAACAACCAAATTCTCGTCCCGGAACAGCATGGATTTCGCTAAAATCACTCATGTACAACTAATCTCTTGATTGTTCGTGCAAACTGGACGGAATCTGAGGACGCTGGTGTAGGAGTCGACGCGGCCTACTTGGATTTCTCAAAGGCATTCGACCGCAAAGACCATCGCATGCTCCTCCACAAACTCCAGAAATATGGAACCTGCGATCCTGTACTGGGCTGGGTAGGAGACTTTCTCCTGCAACGTCACCTGAATGTGAGGGTTCGAAGCAACCTATCAGAATCCATCGAAGTTCAGTGCGGCGTACCTCAAGGCTCGGTACTTGGACACCGTCTGTTACTGGTCTTCATAAATGATCTCGCGAGTGTGCCATCTTCTAACTGTTTGCTATTTGCTGATGACCTAAAGGTATGGCGCACTATAGCTGCAGTGGAAGATCACACAGTCTTACAGGAGGACCTGGACAAAGCGCACCCATGGTCCACCGAGAACACGCTGCATTTCAAAGCCACCAAGTGCAACGTTCTCAGCATAGGGCACAAGAGTATGCACATGTACCGCCTAGGATCACAAAGTCTACAGCGGGCTTCTCACGAGTGCGATCTCGGCGTGATAGTTCAAGACGACCTCGGTTGTTCGAGGCAGACTGAAAAGGCATCTAAGAAAGCAAACCAGTACCTCGGCCTTCTTCCCAGAGCTTTCGAGAAATGTGACCCTTCAGTCTTTCCAAAAATGCTTAGTGCGTACGTGAGGCCGCACGCTGAATACGCTAGTCAAGCGTGGCAACCATGGCTCAAGCACCATCTCATCGCGCTCGATACTGCACAACGTAGGGCAACGAAGAGCGTCAGAGGTTTGACCAGCCTCCCCTACCCACTCAGGCTGAAGACCCTCAAAATATACAGTGGACGTTATCGGCGTCTAAGGGGCGATCTCATAATGGTGTACCTAATCCTGAGAGACCCCAACCACCCATGCCATTCCCTTCTAATACTCAGTCAAAACACCTCGCTAAGAGGTCACCAGTTTAAGTTAGTCACGCAGTACAGCCGCCTGGAATGTCGGCGAAACTATTTCTCCCTTCGAGTGGCACAGCCTTGGAACGCCCTCCCGGAACATGTAATTAATGCACCCACCCTATCCCTTTTCAAAAACGCCTTGACGATACCCTGTCACATTTACACTACGTGCTATAGCTCATGACCACCAGATGCTGGCACTAATGCACAACAGACAGGGGATAGTGCCATAACCCTACTCGAGAATGAGTCACTCCAAACGCCTTGCACGAAATTTGATAAACGCTACTACTATAGAAACTGGATTTCTGTATCCTGTCGACCAAAGATAATTGCACACGAGTAAGCGTTGTCCTTGCCATCTTTTTTATTTTTCTCGCCTATGATGTGAACAATAACCACTCCCCTGTTGCTTTGTGTGCGTACATTCTCAGTTCAAACTCCCTTTATACGACAGTGCAGTTACATCTGTAAGCGCCCGAACTGAAGACTCCATTATCGCTTCGCTATCTTTTTTCGTCACGCTATACAACCTACGGGACATGTCAAGCACCTGCTTTTTTACCCGTTATAAATCATTGTTCATTGTTCAAATGTAATATACCGATTCACCTGCTCCTGTGGAGCTAGGTATATTGGACGCACGACAAGGCACTTAGAAAATCGAATCAAGGAGCACCTACCGAATTCGCTCACCAACCACAGAGACAGATCTAATCTAAGTGCAATTAGTAACCATGTGATTGCCACTGGGCACAACACTGGCAAAAGTAGTGCCTTCGAAATCCTGTATAAGGTACCGTCACACTTGACCCATCAGTTAGCACCACTATTGCTTGCTACTGCTGAAGCAGTAAGCATAAGACTGATGAAGCAAAATCGCTGCATCCAAGAGAAGCTCACTGAAGCATTACAATTTCCATGGCCATCAACCACACGAGAGTAATTTGCTGCCGTCCATCAATCCCACATGCTGCCAATCATCTGCTCATCTGACAGTTATCACCAGAACTGTATAAGTTTAGTTTTATCTAATCAATGGTTTGTCACCATAATGTCCCACAAACCTGCTTGTTCATAAGTATATTTCTGTACTAGGCCTGAGGAGAAAGAGATCGAAAACAATTGGTCGCCCTAAATGTTCTGCTTAGATTTCTTCTAGGGTTTGACAACCAAATGGGCATTCCACAGGAACTTTGCTAAAAGTACGGGAACTACCAGAATGCGCATGGGTTTCCTTTAGGACTCCAACTGAACTGGACCGCGAGTGTAGCTCATCTTACGAGGCGATATTCCAAGTAAACTGGGATCAGGGGACTTAGATACCACGTTAACAACTGACGAATCCGACGGGCTCACATTATTTTCATGAGGAAAGCATAGTAAGCTCGTGAACTTGGACTATAATCCGTGGATGGGTAGTTTTAATAAGAGGAAACTCCTCAGAGTGAACGTTCCTCGTGATTTGCTTACCTACTCGTAATGAGCCGCTTTCACATTTGCATAGACGTACCCGATAGTTTTTCGGCGGAACAGATTCATAAGAGAAAATTTCATCGCATCCATGGTCTTTCGATCACCTTCACAAGCCTGCTCCGAGGTTGTCAGCTGGCCGGTAGTGTTGTCTTTCCATTGCACTCTTCTGGCGGATTGTGTTAGTTGGGATGAATGCCTTGACCTACAAGTGCATTAACCACAAAAACCACGAGGGTGTAGGTAGAGTAACTGCGTGTGGATAGAATGGCTGAGTGCACCTGTGAAAGAGGTGACAGTATTGTTTACCAACAACCAAAGAACAGTAGTACAAAACCACATACAAAAGGGTGAATCAACAAAATCCTACAGCACCTCGCACGCTTCGACTCTGCAATGAAGCGAAGGACCTATCACTGAATACCATAAACATTGAGCGAAATTTGTTCGAGCACTAACGCAGAATAATGTTACCAAAACCAATGTAGTGTCAAAGGTTACAAACGTACAGCGTTTTATTCAGCTATGAAACAGAAAAAATCTAAAACACACAAACTGAGTGTCTAGAAATTAAAGGAATTCCGACATCGATACTGCCTTCACTATATGTTGGGGTAAACTGTTCGGATTTATGGCAGCCGCCGATAAATCTTGCCAACTGATCGGTCCTACGCATATGATCAACTACACCTTCTACTCGTTACCTACTTGGCGAAAATGCAGTACCGCAGGTGACCCACCAAATCGACTCAGGAATTTCTCTGTCCACTGACTCTAAATCCAGTGAGAACTGGATTGCGGCTACTCGCAAAAGCTTCCGAATGCTGTGGATGATCCGCAGATCTTTTGGGATGGTAACAAGCATAATGTCCATTACATTGTCCTCAGGCTTTGTTAGATCATATTCGCAATATCGCGTGCAGGCCATGCTTGATCCGCAACAAGATGGCAGTTGAACAACTTTGAGGACTGGCACAAAATGGTGCACAGATTAAGACATCACACGGATCCCGATAGACTGCAGAGATTGCAGATGTTTTCGCTTCACTACAGGCGCCTTCGGGGAGACATAATCCTTAAGTATTGTATCCTGACGGACAAGATTGGGCTTGATCTATCCGGGCTGTTTCATCCCACCCGGATGCCAACTCCTTGGGGCTATTCTCTTAAGCTACACAAGCCCAAATCCGATCGCGGTAGGGCTGAATTTCATTTAGTCCGCAGGGTCGTAGATTCGTGGTATGCACTACCCAAGGATGTGCTACTAGCACCAACGGTGAAGGAATTTGAACATCGACTCGATGGCCTTAGGTTGCAGTGCCAAATTTGCCCTTTTGGCTCTTAACTTCCGCTTTCACTTCTGACTTTAACTTTAATTGCTACTATTACCTCACATTAAAATCATAATTATCCTGTTATTGTTGTCTCCTCCTATTGTTTATTCCAATCCACATGGCCGGTACAGCGGGGACTACTAGTGATGGCCACGTGGACATTGATTGGTTGACTGTGATCTGATTCGAGTGTATTACTTTGGCTCTCCTCGGTTTCAAATCGGTCCCACAAACTCTGTCATGGATCAACGACGCACTCAAAAAGAATACACATGGAATTTTCCTACGGTTCTCGTCCCAAATAGAACTTAAACTTGAAAATTTCATCACCCGGTGTTTGAAGCCTAGAAGATGAAGTATCTACTTCAAACCCAGTGATACGACCTTGTACCGATATTAGCGTGCGCTGCTTGCTGCGCGCATATATAGCACCAACCACAGCATGGGGAATTTACCCAGCTGCTGTTCCGCATGTCATTATGAGACCAATTCGAAACCGACGATAGGTGGGTAGTCGAGGCCCCTCGAAAGGATCTTTATATGACATACCCCGTAAAATGGAGAGCAGCATTTTACCTAGATGCGGAAACTGTCTAATTTTCTGCACCGCGCTCCCAGGTGAGCTAGGCTCAAGCGTTCGTCTTATGATAGAGGTAAGCACGCCGTTTCAAAGGCGTTAGTCGCTCTGAACCCACAAACTATTACCCAGCCGTCCGCCTCCCTGCAGTCTCAAAGTTGACGAAGGCAATCATCGCTGAGACTTTAGAACGTCACAACATCATAGCATCTGAGAAGCACGGTTTCCGCCAACACCGTTCATACACAACTAATCCATTGACTGCATGCAGTAGTTGGACGGAAGCGGCCGATAAAGGGACGGAGACCAACGTTATTTTGCTCGACTTCTCCAAGGCGTTCGATAGCCTGGGCCACCGCGTTCCGCTTCATCGGCTCGAAAGCTACAAGCTTAAGGGTCCTGTCCTTGAGTGGACCAAGAATTTTCTGCATAATCGACAGCAGCATGTAAGAGTTCGAAGTGCGCTGTTCGATCCGATGCAGGTCGAATGTGGAGTTCCACAAGGATCAGTGCTGGAGTTGCGTCTGTTTCTCTCTTGTTCATTAATGAGCTTACGCGCCCCATCACCTCGAATTTCTTGCCTTTCGCTGATGATGTTACCATGTGGTGGACGATTGTCAACCAAGAAAATCTCGATGCACTTCAGCGAGACTTGGACAGAGCTGATGAATGGTTATCACACAATCTGCTCCGATTTACCTCGGCATCAGACCAACATCGTCTACAAACTTGGAGACCTGTAGACAGTCACCCAGGAGCGGGACCCTGGGGCATTATTCCAGGCTGATCTAGGCTGCTCAGAACAATCTGAAAAGGCGTCAAAGGCTGGAAACTAACAAGTTGGAATGCTGCGGAAGGCATTCGGGTGGTTCGATCCCTCTGTTTGTTCGCAGTTGCTTAACACATACGTGCGGCCTCATATGGAATACGCAATCCAAGCCTGGCAGACCTCGTACAAGAAATATGTTGTACTACTAGAGACCCTACATTGAAGAGCCACCAAGCATATCAAAGGGTTGTTTGATCTTCTAGATCAACTTAGGCTGATGGCTCTAAGATTGCAAAGCGGTCAGTATGGGCGCTTACGTGGTGACCTGATAATGGCCTACCAGATTTTGAGGAACTCCAATCACCTCTGCCGTCACCTACAGAAACTCAGTCATGACACGAAGTTGAGCGGCCACCAACCAATACGGTCGGCTAGAATGTTGGCAAAAGTTTTATTACCTTCGTGTGTCCCAGTCATGGTACGTTCTCCCAATTTATGTTGTTCCCGCTCCCACTTTCTCTGCGTTGAATAACGTCTTGACGTTGTCCTAACCCACGAACAGCACGAGTATACCCGGTGTACATTTAGAAACATTGCACAACTAACACGAACATACACAATGAGTGAGGCATTTTTACACATGCCTATGAGTGAACCCTAGGGTGAGGCCAGCAAAAAGCATTTCATTCTGTCACTACGTTTTTTTCATTTTGGTATTCATTCTGGCCATCGAACGTGGGTTGTCAAGTAATTGCTATTTTTTACTGTAATACGCCACTATATCACTTTAGCATGTCCAAGCCTAACCTACTCAGAGTTCAGTGACGACGGAAATACTTATAGTGCCTGTTGCATTAAGCATTACTGTTGAAAGTAAGCATGTATGAACCATTAAGAATAAATGCTTGTGGGAAGCTCGGTTCGGAAGTACCTGGGGAACAATTGCTGGTACAGTCCAACCTGTTACGGCGACCAGTTGGCGACCAGCAAAAAACATTCCCGACGTCTTCCCCTATGAAGAATGTCCCTATGCATGAACCTGTCTATGGCGACCACCTTAGACAGGCTTGACCGTATTTGTGGAGGGCGGGGTCCTATACTGTATTGGTCCATACCACAGTGAATGCAACACGGTGGTCATCAAAGATGAATCCTATTGACAAACGTTATCGCACAATAACATGGAAACGAGTATCTATATTTTGATGATTGTTTGTGACGCGAATGGCCAAGTAGGCCGTGGTAGATAGGTAGGTCATTTATTCACGACCAGCGATTTAACGAGCAAAAGTTGGTTAGAGAATGATCAAACAAATCATTACAAGCCTTGTTTTTATGGTTCAGGGCATTCATTAACAGCGACGAAGGGTTCTGGATAAGAAGCCTGCCATTGCTTCAGGAAAACTCTGTGATAGAGAGCTAACGGATCTGTTCCGATCGGAACCTCATAACAAAACAGGATTGTGGTTGACGCACCCATTAAATCTATGATTGCAATGTGGCATCGATGGTGGTAGTTGGTTGGCAAGCTAGTTGATCCTTTACATGAAAGTCCAATCCATTTGGTAATCCTTCTTTCGTCTTAGCCCAGCAAACACTATCAGTAAAAGTGCATCACTGGTGGGGTGTTCGCAGGTCATTGCCAGACGTACCTTTCATAATGGGTAGGTCAGGTGTACTCAAAAAAGGTGCTATTTGTTTTCGGTTGCTGTTCATTCTCCCACCGACTGCAGTCCTGATTACCCAAGAACAACTACGGCGAATGAAACACATTACTTCGCAGTGCTGTCGGTTGCGGAGGATTTGAATGCACAGGTAGTTCGGCTGAGCGCCGCGAGGGCTTTGGCTACGTGGAATGTCTGGGCAGAGATAATGGTGAGCGTTTATTGCACCTGTGAGTTGAGCAGCGGATGTAGTATAGAATGGAAAAGTAGGCAAGCTCAGCCGCTGAGTATGAATGTGTTAGCGACGCAAGAATGCATCAAGATGCTAAAAAAGGTAGAGGTTGACAAGTGATGAAGTTAGTGCTGGATCTCCGGTCAGGTGTGTGTGTTTCAGTACGTTGCCTAGAGCAGTTGAATTGAATAATTGGCTTGATCGTTTTGACCGTACTCGCGGACACTTCGTAGGGATGTCAGTAGTCAACATTGTACTCCAAGACCGGTTTGTGGCTGTTTGCGTCTCCACACGGGAGCACTCCAACACAAACGTTACCATGCGCCAATGAAAGCTCAAGCACGATGCATGGAACCAGATCAGTCGAGAAATTTAGCGAGCCATAAAAAGATTTCTGGTTGTACTCTCGGTCGCAGTAACCATAATGGGGCGGTAGAAATAAAATCGAAATTAGGAGTAGAGTGCAATAGTTGGTGGGAATTATGGAAAAGGGAAGGATTTTTTGGTGATCGCGAGGTAAACATGGGAAGTTGGAAATTGTTCGATACACTTACCTCGTTAAGGATGGCAGCCACCTCGCAGAAGTGAGGTGATCAATGTGCTTAGGAGCAGTGGCAGTTGAGCATTCTAAATGTACGTCTCCAATTCGGCAGTTAACACCGGAAGATTCGTTCAATGAGGATTGCTGAGGAAAGAACAGCGGATGGGAGCTCAATGTTCACGATACCCGACTATTCGAAGCAGATGGGACCTTCAAATATGGCAGTGGTCTAAGTTCCTCTTTCAAAGAAGTACCAACACTCGCGTCACCAACGACAAGATTTAGAAACCAACTGTTTTACCTACTGCTCCATCTACGATTAGTGTCATGAGTATTTACACTCGTGAAATGCTGAAATTGTTATACATTTCCGCGCAAGTGACAGACACATTTAGATTTATCCGAAGCAAATTGAGATAAGTCTACAAAAAACGTAATAAATTTGCAAAGAAGCATCGTGCTGAATGGAGGGTTGCTTTGCGGAAGAAAAATTTGTTGTGTTAGAGCATACCAATTCTTCTAAGCACCATCGTCCGCGCAATTCTTGAAAAAATAGAAGACCTTAAAAACAACATCTGCTGTTGCGAATATGCGCAGCTAGGAGTAATTACGCTACAGGAAACCTGGCTTCACAAAGATGTTGAAGACGCCATAGTAGCAGTTGGTGGTTTTATTTCCACCGTGCTGGTCGCGCACGTAGGTTCCGCAACCGGGGTGGTGGTGTTATCACTTTTAGTAACGCTTCCTGGTGTTCGTCAGTGAAAAATGTCCTATTCGTCGCAACGTATCGACCGCCTAGTTCTAAAGTGCACACAAAAATATCTGAGTGGATACAGCTCAGTATTGTTAGCCAACATTTATATATCCCCCAGTTGTCCAAGCTCAGAAGCAGACAAATGTTACGATGACTTCACGGCTGATGTCACGATACACATCGACCATTCCCTATGCATATTTGCTGGTGAGTTAAATAGGTTTGACAACACATTCCCCACAACACTTGGACTACAGACCATCGTGAAATGTCCCACTAGGTTAGAAGCAACCCAGGACTTAGTGTTAGTTAACAACCTGAAAATATTTTCAGTCAGTACTCGGGCACCACTTGGAAGCTCTGACCATTCGATAGTCAAGCTATCTCTTGTCGTCTACAGTAAGAAAAACCATAAGGAAGTCACTCGCTGCAAGGAACGTAAAATTAAACGGAGACAAACCAATCCCCCAAACATAGCACAAGTGAAAGAAATGATTGCCTCTACAGATTCCCGTTTGTTTTTCGATACAGATGTCTCAACATATTGTGACCGGATGACAAGTTATCTGAACTATTTTTAGCTCTGCTGTCCGACGGAAACTATTAACATTCGTGCTGACCGGTTCCTTTCACCACTCCTCAGGCAGCTGCGTCGACTTAAGGAGAGAACCTTCAAAGTTAAATATCCTCCCTCAGTAAAGTTTATTTCTCCACGTATCAGAGAAGAAATTCACCACCACATCCAGACAATTCTGGGGAATAATGACTACCGTGAGATTTCGCAAATGATGAAACAATTTAGTGGAGTCACTGGTCATAGTACGAACTTTGACATAGACGTAGAAGAATTCAGCCGCAACTTCTGCTGCTCCAGCAGTGACTCACTCCCCAACTCGTCACCTGCATAGATCCAGTGGCCTACAGACTCATCGCCACTTGTTGACGTTGCAGTACTTCACAGGAAGCTTACCCAGCTAAACTCAAGCAAACCAAGCGGACCTGACCGGTTGTCAACCTCCGTCCTTAAGGAGTGTGTAGATTCACTAACCCAGCCGCTAGCTGAGTTGTACACCATGTGCCTAAACCAAGGCAAGATCGCAGACTGTTGGAGAGCTGATAGCATAACACCAATACCGAAGAAAGCGACAGGTAAATATCGACCTATTGTGTGCATTTCGGTTTGATTACAGGTCTTCGAGAAATTCATTCATGAAATATTGCTAACGCAGTTCTGTCTGAATGACGCACATCAATTTGCATACCGAAGTTCGAGGTCGACACAAAACGCAGTGGCTTGTCTAATGTACTCTGTGCTATCGCCGCTAGGCAGCAAGATCAAAGCCACAGGTGTGTTCTCCCTTGACTACACCGTCGCCTTCGGTTGTGTTAACCGTGAAATCTTATTGCAAGATCATCCGTAGCCTTCTTCCTACAAGAACATTTTGTCAAACGTACCCAGATAACCAGGTTCAACGGCAGGAGCTCCTTGCCTCTTACCACAACTTCCGGTGTCCTTCAAGGAGCCATTTTGTCGCCATCCTTATTCTCTACCTACTTTGGCTCTAACCCTGTCCCTGAAGAAGCCATAATGGTAAACTACGCCGATTACGTATTAGTCGGCGGGAATCATCTAACTTCAGCCTCTTCCACCACCCTACAATGTTGTTTGCATAAAGTCGTGCATTGGTCATACTCCCGCGGCTTAACGCTGAATGCTTCCAAGTGCAATTATGTACTGTTTTCGCTACAAAAGACAGATCGTTACCATAAACTCGTCGCTGACTGTCCCCAACTTCACATCAGTGGTGAAAGGCTGAGGTTCTCGACTTCAGTGAAGTACCTGAGAATCACACTGAGCCATGATCTATCGTGGTCAATTCACGTGAATGAAGTATTCACCCAAGTCAGGCGACTGTCTTTTCATGGTTCACGTCTTCGTTCGTCTTCAGTCTCCCATCAGTTGATCCTGCGATTCATTATCGCATGTGTTATACCACGCTGGACCTAGTGTTCTCTAGGGATCTTTCCGGGCCTATTGAGTACGCATTTCAAACTATTTCATAGGTTGCTGAAACACATATCTCGATGCAGTGGCATTTCTAAACCAACCTTAGTTCAACACATTGTATCTGTTCATGTTAATTCATGCGCAAAACTTGCTTCGAAAATACTCACTGATATCAGCCATCCTTTACATAGCGTTTTATCCAACTGCAAATCTAGTTCCTCAACGCGACGAAACTACAGAGCCATATATGCTCACACGCAGGCCTACGGCTCATCTGTCATACCTTATCTAGCTAGATTTCTGCTTGATCCGAATATTATCATCCAAGAAGTAAACAACAAATTGTTATCGAACCTGTACCACACATTAAACATTGTTTTATTCGCCGTTTTTTACTCCTTTTACATGTATTATATTGTTTTTCTTTAGGGTTTCGATCGCGCGTGTGTTACAGCTGAAAATTCAACATTCATGGGTGCATAAAAGCGAATTGTTGACTTGAATTGGTGATAATCAAGGTAATATGGTTGCAGATGGGGCCCTATAACCAAATTAATAAGAGTCCATTTTTCAGCTGAGGGCCTACAGGAAACTAAACAAAAATATACCGATTCGATAGGCTTGTGGCAATCCACCAAAAGCGTACTGATAGGCCTTTCCGAGTGGATTGCACCCAACATGCCTTCGAAATTCTTGTGGCCGCGAACTGAAACAAGAACGGGAGAATGGGGATTGAAGATATATTAGAGGACAGATTCATTGCGATGGAAGGAATTAGATGAAGTACTAAATAATGGAGCGCAACGGAGTCGAAAATAAAATCTCTCTCGCTCACCAAGTTCTACCACTCACCCACAACTGCGATCAACCTCGTCAATTTTCGCCACTGCAATTCTGAGTTTGACAAACACTAATCTCTCCATGAAAATGCGGACTCACGTCATACCCCCATCATCCGCTCTTAAAGACTTTGGTGTATTCTTGTCCCAAAATCTATCATGTGCAACACATTTTAACGAAAGGTTTCACAAAGCAAGAAAAATATTGTTTTACGCCATGATAGTCAAAATACTTTCAGTACCCCGCTCTTCATTTCGTTAATTCGTGACTGCCTTTATTCGTCCTCACCGGCTGTACTGCTTACATATCATTTTTGCTGGACCCATTCAAAAACACTTCACGCCAACTTTGGCTGAATGCCCAAAAAGACTCTGACTAATTTCATGATTATTTGGCATTTACGGCAAACTTGACAACCCTTCATTAGTTTTAACTGGTCCTTTTCACCCACTGCACGATGGTTTATGAAAAGCTCTATCTACCTGTGCTTTTGTGAAACGATGCACATACAGTGCCAAAAGAAGACATTGTATGTCCGGAAATAATGACGCTAGTACAAATTTCTAACCGAACACGGATAAACGATTAACGGACCAGACACAACTGCTGATAATTCACAAGTAAATTTTGATTTTTCGTAATTCGATAGAGTTGTACAGAAACCTTTCTACTTGCTCTTAAATACAGTCTCAGTCTCTCTTCTTCTACGTACGCCAAGTTAAGCAGCCGGTTTCCTCGCACAGTATTTGCTCATAACTCTGCCTGGCCGCATTTATCCCGCTTTCTTGTGGACCCCAAGTAAGTAATCAATACAACTGTAAAGGTTTCCTGGAGTGACATACATGCTTATCCTAATTTATCACTCCTTACCCTTAGTTTTAGATCAAAGTCATGCCTCATTACATCCACAGCTTTAGTGAAAAACGTTGTGGATATTCCCACTCGGGTGCATAAAGTTTAATGAGCCTATGCATCCGTCTAGGTTAGCCCTTTGCAGATTTCCACGTCGATCCCGGGCACTAAGATGAAGTAGGCGATCCACGGTTATTTCGTTAGACAATAAACAGTGCGCCACTGCAAGTTGCTGACCAAGACTACCTTCGAGAAACAAAGTTTAAAATCACGGAGGCGCGTTTGCTTAATCCGAACCCCACAACTCCAGAAAACATGCCAGTTGCACCGGCGTATTTCGAAGAGACAAGTTATGCCAAGTCACACGGATCAGCAGGGCCCAAAGCGGCCAAAGAAATGCAGTGCATACTGGCCCACTGAACGACGCGATTAAAGAACACAAGAAAAATGATATCAATGCAGATTCTGATGGCTACTTCCAAAATGTCGCGCAGTCCACGGATTCAGTATCCACACGATAGAGCTGTCCGCCACGCTTCAAGCACATACGTCTTATCTGATTTGCTCAGATATTATTGGAGATGGTTCGTGCCGAAGTAACCCTCCGGAAGTCAATACGAAGACTGCGCAGCGATTAAAATCTATCATTAAAGAATATAGCGTCATTTTATACTGTTTTCAGCGAAACACACTTTAAATGGTTATTCTTTCCGGCTATCTGTCGGAGTTCATTGGCCGGCGCTCACCGTTTGTCCACAGCTGTTAGAGACACTCCCATCTTGACTGCAACAAAGTTGAGCTTTGTACACAATACCCCAAACCAAATTCCAATAGTTTCATTCGGTCCTCGCAAATATGAGCTGATCGGCTTCCATCTGCTGCCTCTGTTCCGCTCGCGAGGCCTATCAACTATCATCCCGCTATACGCCATCCGCTCCGAATCAGTGCCACGTGCGGAAAACTCGCTTGCCTTCCACCAGGACTATTGTGGTTGCAGCTGAAGGTACGGATAATCTGCCTGAATCTGTTGTGCCGCCCCCAACCAGTCCAACCCGCAACGAAAGGAGAACGCCAAGACCAGCAGGACCGAGGGATTTTTTCGTATGAGAGCATGGCGCAATAAATAGGTTGTAGGCAACTAACAACACAACAATATTGGAGATGCTAATTAATAGTAATTAACACAACTCAAACGGTTCAAATTCATGGTCCAACTTGTCGCTGATCCCACATAGATTCGCGTTTTGATCACTACTCGAGTTCGATCTCCAATTGTAGATCGATCCACTCTTAAGCCACTGCTCTCGGCCTGAATGCTGAGTGTAAGCTATCTCCCTGTAACACCCTCGCGCAAAATGACGTATGACTTCCGACTTGGGTCCAGCTGCATTTTGATGACAGGTCCCCGGACCCGATCAGAGCACCATCTTGGTTGCATAATCGGCTCTTCTGGGACGATCGTGCAAGGTGCATCAGAAGCATTCTGTGCACTGACTGGCATATCGAAGCTGTCCATCAGGATATCCAGCGGTAGCTGTCGACTGCTTGTGCTTATCGATATGCTAGTTGGCCGAAGCTGATTACCGTGTCTGGTCCAAATTTGGTCCCCCACATTAACCTTATATAGGACACGTCCAAATCTGCTCTGGATCAGACCTGTCGCCCATCTTGGTCTTCCGTGTGGTAGTCTCTGACCAAAACTTTCTGTTCTGTGTAGAATCGGCGTGCCTGTGTACTATTTCGTTGGTTATAGTAGTCCTCCATTCTTCGGTTTCTTTCTTGCGAGGTCTCTTGCTTCGGAAACAATAACCCGTTCATTGTGCGAAGCTTTCGTCCCAGCAACGCTTCTGCTGGTGATAGCTGGTTGAGGATATGGGGATTCGGTGTCGTCCTGTACATAAGTGGAAAGGCACCCAATATCTGCGTAGTTCCCTCTCCCCTCATTTTCAGCAAAGCTTGCTTCAAGGTATCGACAAAGCGTTCCGCCTGTCCGTTAGATTGTGGATGAAACTGTGGCGAGCGTACATGGGTAATGTCATTCTGAGCGCAGTACTCAGCAAAACAGGAAAAAGTGAACTATGACCCGTTGTCTGCGAATAGCATCGCGGGCACTCCATGTTGGCTGAAAAGCTTCCTCAGGACGTTGATCGTTGCGCCACTGGTCACATTCTCCATGCGGAATACCTCGGGCCATTTATTAATGGCGTCAGCAACAACAAAATACTGCTGCCCCTTCACCGGTCCAAGGAAATCTGCATGCACAAGCTTCCACGGTTTCCTTGTCAAAGACCAGGAGGCCAATTCCGCTTTTCTGGGCGCCTTACTGGCAAGTGCACACCTCTGACATGACGTTGCTATCCATTCCAGTTCCGAATCGATATTCGGCCAGTAAGTGAAACTCCGAGCATTCATTTTCATCCTGTTAATACCTGGATGGTCTAGTTGGAACTGCTGTTTAACCCTTCAGCGAAGTTCTTAGGGGAAGTCAATTCGTTTGGCCAGCTATAAGCATCCGTTGACGATTAACACTTCATCCTTCCTTAAGAACAACTTATGCAGCTCACCTGTCAGTTAATACGTGGGCCACTGTGTACTGTGATATTGGATCGCTTGTTAAAGGACTGGACCTCGGGTTAATGCATCACGCACCATTTCGAAAGTAACCGGAGCCTTTCTGAGAACCCCCATCAGCACTTGGTTCACTTCAGACTCCAAGGAATTCGCCGCGATGATTGATTCTTCTTTCTGGGGCTGCTGAATTTCCACTAGTCGATAAAGCGCCTTAGCTTGGCCCATGTCCTTTGTAAAGATATGCTTCACCTCAAAGTCGTAACCGAGCAAATTGGTGGCCCAACGTTTCAGCTTGTTCGCTGAGTAGGTGGAAATGCCTTACCTTAATCTGAAAGTTGCCAGCAGTGTGAACTTTCTCCTATAAGACATCTTGTGAAATTACTTTACTGTGAAAACTATCGCCAGAGCCTTTTTCTCTATCTGATCATAATTTCGTTCTGCGGGTGACAACCATCTGGTTGCTTGTGCAATTGGTTTTTCTGAGCCGTCTGTGAGCTTGTGGTCTATGACTGGACAAATGCCATAGTTCGAAACGTCTGTGGCCACCACAATCTTCAAGGTAGGGTCATAATGCGTCATTAGAAGGTCGGAATATAGAAGTCTTTTCACCTGTTCAAAGGATCTCTGACATTCTTCGGACCGATTCCAGGGCTTATCCTTGGTCAGTAATTCGGTCAGTGGGCCATGTAAGCAATGCATATGCGGCAGGAACGGGCTGTAATGACTTATGAGTCCTAGGAAGGACCCTAGGGTCGCAACATCTTTGGGGGGCAGCATCTTCTTGATAGCTTCGATGTTCGCTGGATCTGGACCTCTGCCAGTATTGTCAATTATAAGCCAAGGAACTTAATTGAGTACATAAAGAAGGTACACTTCTCCGCTCAGAGTCTGAATCGATACACTACAACACGGCCAAGGACTCGATCCAATTTATCGAACAGGTCATCCGCATTGCCTCTGACAACAATGATGTCGTCCAGGTATGCAGCTGCACCATCGACGTCCGTCAGCAATGTGTCCACGATCTGTCAGAATATGGCTGGTGTGGACTTGATTAACCAACGGAAGACGGTGGTACTGATACAAGCCTCGGTGCGTATTTATGGTGAGTAATTCTCGTGACGCTTCATGTACCTCGATCTGCAGGTATGGATCGGAAAAATCCGGTTTTGTGAAACATTTACCCCCATTCAGTTATGCAAACAAACCATCCGGGAGCGGTAAGGGGTATTGGTGAACGTACAGTGCAGCATTCAGACCCGTTGAGAAATCGGTACGTATTCGAATTGGACCGTTCGGCTTCTTGACGGCCACAATGAGTGCTGCCCAGGATGAGTAGTTCACCGGGTGGACAACTCCTGCACTCTCTCTAAACAATCCAGCTCCTGGTCAACCGTTGGTGTTGCTGCATATGGTAAAGGATGTCTCGTACGAAACACGGCA